TTTGGTGCGCGGGCCTCTCACTGTTGTGGCCTCTCCCGTTGCAGAGCACAGGCTCTGGACGCGCAGGCTCAGCGGCCATGGCTCACGGGCCCAGCCGCTCCGCGGCATGTGGGGGGATCTTCCCGGACCGGGGCACGAACCCATGTCCCCTGCATCAGCAGGCGGACTCTCAACCACTGCGCCACCAGGGAAGCCCTCTTAGTTTATTTTTAATGATGTCTATTAGGTTTTAGAAGATTTTACCTAAACCAGCTTAATTATCTAACTGCTTCCTAAATTATTTCGTCTTTTTTGGATAGATACTAAGTCCCAGCTCATAGCCTCAAAAAGGTAGAATTTCCAGAGCCTCATCTAGAACAGTGAATTCAAATGAAAAAATACAAAGCCCAATTTGGGAAGATATTAGAATTCAAGTACTAGTGTTAGAAAAACTAGTAACTCCTATTTGACTGAGATAATTAAAACCTTTGAGACTTCCATCTTATTTACAAAAGAGTCTAGGGGCAACAATAAAGTTAACTTTGTATAGGAAAAACTAGATACAATATAAAAACCAAATTAGGTCAGAATGCTAAAAGAACATAGCAATTATTGATCAAAGCATTAGGATCCTATTTATTAAAAGAGTTTTTGAAATGGTACCAAATAATTTTTATTAGTTGTGTTTTGTATTAGTAAAAAGGTATATTGTGTTGCATGTATTTATCATTTTGTATATTTTACTTTATACCTGTTGAAATCTTATTTTCACCTTCATGTTAGGTGCACATCATTGCCAGTTTTCACTAAATTGTATGAATTATTCAATCTTTGCTTTACCGCCTGCGAATATTTAATACACTGTGAAACCAGATGGGGTTGGGGTGAGGGAAGGTATGGACTAAGGGAACTCTCACATCATGAGGAATTTCCCAGTTTTTTATTAGTTCCCTTAAAGGTTAGTTTCTTCATTAAGTTAAAGCTCAGGCATTAGAGGTTATCTCCCTAAAAGAGTTCTTCAGAAGATTCTTCCTACTGAGAGGTACTGGGAACTCCCCAGCCTTTCAGCAGTTTTTTTCAGGTCCTTGCCTCGCTCAAAAGATTGATGGACACACAAAGCTTCAGGGTCATAAATCTTTTCCAACACTGACTCCCTACCATAGCATGCCTCCTTGTCTCCTTAACTCTCTCCATGGTTCCTATGTTCTAGCCATCCAGGACTGTTCCTTCTTTTATCAGTAGAACATGTTAAGCCATTTACTCCCTGCTGCCCCGTCTAGAAGGCATGGGCATTGTGTTTTTCATACACAGTTTCTTCACGTAGTTATCGTTCCCGATATATACAACCCAACTGATAATTATTGCGTAAAAAATGGGAAAACAGTGATTGCTGGTTTTTTTCCAGTGCTATTTGAAAAAATAAGTGAAAAACTATAGTATAGTATATAAATAAGAGAGAAATGAAAACTGCCCTTTTGAAATACACTGTTATTTATTTATAAAATTGAATAAATGAATCTGATGCTTATGAAAGTAAGGAACTCTCAGAGGTTCATGATACTAGAAAAATGAAGAATTTGTGCTATAACTTGATTCTTCATACCCTACCTCAGTCATGAACTCCATGTTAATATACTTCATTACCAACTTTTCACAGCTGTAAAGAGCTGTTAAAGGTAAGATCCAGTCTTACCTTTCTTTAGAATATTAAAGAAATGTTTATTACTCAGATATGCTTAAGATCTTACCTCTCTTTCAAAAGGCTGCTTATTATCTTTCCTTTTTCTTACTGGAAAGTGGCAGTGCAGCATAAGAGAAATAGTTCTGGATAGGGCAGGAACAGGAGTTGGGTTCTTTCATTGAGTTAGCAGCCGCTTCATGAGAGCCCACTTTCCTTAGTGCTAAAGGAATTTCCTCATGTGAACAATGAAGAAGCTAGAGTATATAATCTCCAAGGTCATTTCCAACTCAAGTATTCTATAACTGTAAGCCAAGAGAAAAAAATTACTTAGATTAGGAATTATGACCATTCTTACTGAGAGGACTGACTTGCAAATACATGGGCTCTCCATGTAGCCTTTATTTCCATTTTATTTGTGCTTACTCTTAATTCTTCCCCCAGAGAAGAAGAAAGTGATTTGAGTTTCATGTACCTTTGATTGGTTTTTTAACTTGTTTTATATTTCTGATCAAAGATTTGTGATCAGACAAAAAACAGTCTAATAAAATGCAATCTAGATATTTATTTCTGGATTCATTTTTCATATTGCTTGTGCTCCTAATTAGATTGGACCAATA